GTTTTGTTATAATGCTAATATAATTAAACGCATATTTAAAAACGAATTTCTAATAATATGTTATGTTACACATTAATATACAATTTAAATGAAGTATTTTGTAATTACTTATTATTCATAGAAAACAAATTTTTTTATTTATAATATGTTTAGCTTATAAACGAAGGATTGAAACGAAGCTATTTTAACAAATTTACTTTGAATAACATACCAAATTTGACAGTGCACTTCATTATTAAGTAGAATAAAGTCAAATTATAGTATGTAAAAAGTATAATATTGTAGAATATTTAACTTAATTATTGTTAAAAATTTTATTTATTTTCACATATCTCTAAAAAAGTAATTTACACTAATAAATTTTAGTACCTTAAACATAGAAAAAAAATAACTTTATGTAAACAAGTATCACAAACCTGTAGTGTTTGTTCTTATCAATTGGAAATATTAATTTAACATAAAATCTCATTTAGAAGAGTATTGAAACTTGTATGAAAACTTTGTATAATCAATTGTAAAGTAACATTTTATTTAAAAAATGTATATAAGTGTTTTTGGAAAGGTACAATATTATTTTTTTATTTATTTAAATATACTGAGTATGCAAACAACATATCAATATGACCATAATAGTATTATACATTGACATGTTCTTCATTTATATCTCACTTTAATAATGTTTATTAACAATAAATATTAACGCTAATAATACATTAACAAGCTTTTTTTAATAAAGTTCCTTAATATATGCATATGCTATTTAAGTCATCCAAAATATGTATATTATATTCAATATCTTCTCATGCAGAAGTCAATTTGTCTTTCTTTTGCTTTGTTTCTTAACAATAAAAAGTAATACACTGAAAAGAAGGTCTACTGTATTACATTGCAATATTGTTAATAGCTTATAATTTATATAGATAGAAGGTTACCTGTTCATCTAAAAAGTCCATGAGGGTATTCATCTTACATCGGAAACCTTCTGCTTTAAACATAGAATATAAAGAATTAATGCACAATGGTTCATAAGTCAAAATTTTATCATGTAGTTCTTTCTTAACAGTAAGAAGTTTTAAAAACATATCTTTAATATTTGGTACATTATTGGTTACAGACATAGGTTCTTGTTCATTAAATTGTTTTTCTTCATCTATTATGTTTATTGGTAATTGCATGTTTATGGTACTATAAAATTATTAAAAAAACTATAAGAAGAAATATAAAATGTAGCACTGTTATTATGTCTTAAATTTGTGAAAATTAACTTCAAAGCAAAAAGTATTATAAAACTTAAGTTATAGAATTGATATTTAGTATATGTAACATACTTGGCTTGTGAAAGTGGTAATTGATATTCATAATTATGGACATAATCAACATCGTTTTGTTTACTGTTTAGTTTTTTCATTGGTGGTTCGTCATCTTCACTATTCATTACCGCGAAATCACATTCTACATTTTTTGATGTTGCAAAAATTGTAGGATGCAATTCATTATAATATATTATCTGTATTATTTTAAAATAACATGGTTTATTAACTTACATGAAGTTCAGGTGTTTTCATATCATTGTAATTGGGAGGAGGAGTAACATTGTCTCTAATAATTTCAGGTGATGCAGCTACTTCTAAAATTTTTGTACAACTACATCTGCATTGAGATTTATTAAAATTATTATAAAACTTGAATACGTCACTTTGAATACCTTTTGGGTTAGTATGTAAATTTATTTCTGATATTGATTTTCTTTGAAATTTTCTGCTATTTTGATTTGTAATTAAAGTTCCTTCATTGTTTTTTAATTTTTCTACAAAAGAGTCGGTAGTTGTAATCAAATCATTCTTTTCATTAATTGTTACAGTTTCTTCGTTTAACTTATATACTCCTTTACTACATGGTGAAGGGATAGTATCATCATCATCAATGTACACATTTGCTAAATAAATATCATTTTCAATAACATAATTATTATCATTAGACTTTTCAGAGTCTGAAATATTTTTATTCGTTTTGTTTTGTTCGCACTTATACACGTTTAAAATATCACATTCTAATTCAGGGCTGGAAGGTACTAATATAGGGGAATCCAATGAAATATATCTATTTGCATTTGGTTCCCTTAATAGGAGTGAATTTTGTTTTATTGTTTGTAAATCTATATTACTTTCGGATTTACTGTATCTTAATTTATTTGATTTATTTATTCTTGGGTTTTTAATGTTTTTTTGAGTACTTATTGGTGATGTAATACTAGTAGACAAGTGATTATCTTTTTCATTTATAACACGTTCATTAGTTAGATTACACGGATTTTGTTGAGAAATTTGTTCACAGTTTTTATACTTAGAAGTTAATTTTTTTGTTTCTACTAGATTATCATGTTCTTTTACTAAATTTATTGTAAATTCAGAGTCTTCATCTGTGCTTAATGATGGAATATCATTATCCATATTTTTGTTTTTTCGATATTCATATATTATATCATCTTTTACACTACTGTTTAATTTATGTTTTTGTATAAAATTTCGGTATTTTACTATACTATTATCTTTATGTCCTTTTTTGTACTTTGAATACATGGATATTTCATCTTCGTCTGTATCGAAGTCTGAAGATACATTATCTTGATTTTCATTATGCTGTGATGTAGAGATGTTTTGCAAATTTTTTAAGTTTGCCACATTACCGTTTAATGAATCATTGGATGTAGAATGCATTATTTCATCTTGAAGTTCCTTTCCTACATCATTCAAACTTCTATTTATTAAATTATTCTTTTTAAGCTTCACAGTACATTCTCCTACATTCAATTCTGATGACTGCATTACATTATCGACTGTCTCAAGATTCAAACATATATCAGTATCATTTTCTTCCTGTAACACCTTTGTACCTAGTTTAGAATTTGTAACTCGAGCAAACATACTTAGAATATTTTTTTCTCTTTTTAATGTTTTTTCTATAATAGTATTTATATTGGACATATGATATTCATTAGAAGTATCATGCTGTTTTATATTAAAGGGATTCCTACACAGCTTAGAACATGTTGGTAACATTAAAGGCTCCGAATCAGAATCAAAATCAGATTTTGCATTTTCTGCTTGAAATTGTTCAATAAATAAACTAAGATTGCTTTTTGACTTTATTATATTCGAATGATCTTTTTTCCTTGGTGTGCTAACATGTGGAGAATTTGACAATAAATTTATAATTTCTGCAGTATTTTTAAATGAAGAAATATTCTCAGCTGTTGAAAAATTAGCAGCCTTGGTTGTTACTTCATTGACTAAGTCAAGTATGCTAAAATCTTCATCAATTTTTGTTTTTTCAATTTCAATACTTCGATCCACACCACGGTTTACCTTTTTTTTCGTTTTTTCACTTTTCAATGTATCATTAACATCATCAAATAAATCAGGAGATACATTACAATTTCGTATAGCACTTATGTTTCTTAAACAAATTTCTTTTTGTAATAATTGTTCTCTGCATGTGTTTTTTTCTAATTTAAATTCCACACATTCAGGTTCACCTGTAATATGATCTTTTATATGTTTCTCATTTAATTTTTCATTTGCATCAATTTTAAAGTCTTTGCTACTAGGGATTAAATTTTCCACATTATGTTCGTTTATGAACTCTACATCATAGTTTTCTTTTAAAATTAATTCTTTACTATGTTTACTGTGCATTCGATCTGCTACTTGTTTTATTTCCATTTCCTTTTTTTGCAAAAAAAAAAATAATTCTTTTACTCTATACTTTCTTGCCAAACTTCTCAAAGATGAAAAGCTCCTTAAATCTTCAAAAATATTCAAATACTTTTTTATAATTCCACAATAAATAAATTCCAAAAATGCTAAGGCAATATTATAAGATATATCTATCCAACAAATTTTCTCTTTAATTTTAGTAAATCGTGAAATATCATTAGGTGTAGCATCAAGTAGTATGTTTGAACACTGTACATAGAAAACTAATTTATGAGCCCAAATATACTTATCATTGTTAACAAATATTATTATATCACTTGCAGAGCTGTTATTTAATGCATCAGCCCAGTTTGTAATTACAGTATTGATGAACTGTCTATTTCGGCAATTTTCACATTTTTCCATTATAAAACATGATTCTTTATTATAAGTTTCTTCTTCATATTCTTCTTCATTATTATAAGTTTTTATTTTATATTGACTTAATCTTGTATCATGTATGTTACATGTATTTGTAAATTCTAAACTTGTTTCTTCTACCTATAAGAACAGTATAAATGTAATTTATATCTATGCTAATGCAAGAATATTTACGAAACTGTAATTTAAAGTATTAATAAATTTAACATATATATATCTTACTTACTACTTGCTTTTCTCTTGGAATTACATATTCTGATAGATTTGGAACATAAAAATATTTTTGATTTAGAGTTAGCTTTGCTTTATCCCATAATTTTTCTTCCTTAAAAATTGAATAACAATAAACAAATATAAAAATTTAGAAAAATGTAGTAATGCAGTAGTATTCAAACCTTATTACAAAGTTTCTGTAGTAAATGACTTTTTAAAATGGTTTCCTTATCAATCACACGATTAAATTTAATTTCTTCTTTTTGCTTTTGAGTAACTGGTTCATTTCCTATTAAAATTTCTGAAATTCTTTCAGTTAAAATATGATTTCTCTCTTCTAAAGAACGTGTTTGAAGTACAGTTACTTCAGTGTTCTTTCCTGTTAAAAAATATGTTACATCATAAGGATTGATTTAATATTTATTTCATGAAAAAAATGCATATATTTAAACATAAACATACTCTTTTTATTTTTTATAAATGGTGGAAGTTTATTGCTTACAAATCCAAATTTTTCCAACTGCCTTTCATAAATCAATTCATTTGTTTCTAATACAAATTGATTTGACAATTTAGGTGTGGCTTCATTTTTATTAATTAAATCTAATTCCTCTACTTCTTGAAGTGACTTGGATAATGCTAATGCAAGTTGAAGATTAGATTCTTCATACAAACTCTACATAGGGATTCATGAATGTTTCATCAAAAATATCAAGTGCAGAAAAAAATTATTTTAAATATTTAAAATACATCTTCACAATTACAATACTTAATAAACAATTTACATACTGTTTTATGTGACACTAATTTCTTTTTGTCTTGTAGTATAGGTGCAGCAGGCAAACCTAATGATTTTCTTTCATCTTCTTGACGTTGTTGAAGTTCTATAGCATCTAGTAGCTTTTTTGTAGGAATATTGTTCTTGTATGCACAAATCTTCATGTGTAATGTACGGGAATTAAAATCTTTAAATGTTTTGAAACATAAGGGACATACAAGAGCCACCTTCATATTAATAGTGATATCTTTATGATCGCAATTATCTTTAGATTTAAAAAAGGATGATTCTATTGAAGACTTAGATTCTTGTAAATTTCTTTTTTGTTTAAGTTTTACATCTTTACGACTTTTGGCAAAATTCTCAAATTTTGTAACTGTCCGTTTCCTTTGATGCATATTGGAATTACTGAATTCATTCAATTTTGTCTTAGGAAACTGTTCTGGACTTTTAAAATCCAATATACTATCATTTTCAATGGCAACAGGTGTGTTGTATAAATTTTTGTTTTCTTCAAAATGTTCATCCATTTTACTTCTATGCAAAGATTGATGTAAGTTAATTTTTAATATCTTAGATGTGCTGTAAAAAATACACATACTAAATATAAGATTAAAAATTCACTATTATTTACTATTCAATTTATAATTAAGTTACAAATAAGATATTAAAGTAAACAATTACTATAATAGAAACATCATTTACTAAATAATATTGCAACATAATTTGCATAATTAAGTAATTTATTTTGCTTTATTACTAATTTATTTTACAGTATTACTAATTAAATACTATAAAATGAAAACATTTTATATTTATGTACAACAATCGTACATTTCTACATTATTTCCCTTTAAAAACAATTTATTGTTTTGTAATATAAATTTTATGATTTAGAACTATACTAAAAGTTGAGTACTTATCAAATAAAATATTTTGATGCGTAAGCAAATCAATTATTTGCCTCAGAAATGTCTGAAACTGAACTTGTGGAGTTTATATTTTCATGTAATATGCCATCTTCTTTGAATTTTTTAAGTGCTAATATAGCAGCACCCCGAAGTGCTGGCTGCATCCAAAATTGTTGGTTTTCAAGAATTTCATCAAATACAGTTGGCTCTCTATTATTTAGATCAACTTCATTAAGTTCAGCAATAAGTTTCTTCTTTTCAAAGTTATATTCACTGCAACATTTTATATTTTATATATTTAAAAATTAGAATATACGCCATTTTATTAAAGCTTGGTGATTTAGTAACAGTAACCTTTTCGACACAGTAATCTTTATTTACGTTTATTTTTCACATGTAGTATTCTGAACTTGTATGAAAACTTAAAACAAATAATTAATTATATATCATAGAATCCGTATAAACATTCACCTTATCAAATATCCGACTGCAATAGGAATAGACATGCACGTTAGAGTAGCAATTATAGAAAGTCTAAAGACCGAAGTTCCAAGAGATCGAAGTTTTCTTTTCTGTAAAACTACTGGTTCATACATTGTATATAATTTTAATGAAAGAACTTTATCTAATAGTACAAACAATTTGCGTGCAATTGTAGAATATAATATTCTTGCAAAATACAGTGTTGCCACAATAAGACCCAAAAGTTATACAATTTAATTTGTAATGAAATTAAAAAATTGTAAAACAACTATAAATGACAAATGTTTCACGAAAAAACGATCGTAAGTAAATCTATACATTGAGGTAAGTAACTACATAGAACTTTGCTGAATCCCTAGAACTAACACACAAACGACACAGCGATGGTTTTATGTGAAATGGCCTACGATGCGTACAATTCACCTAATCATCGCCGTGCATTTGGTTAGTTCTAGGGATTCGTCAAAGTTTGATAAGACTCAGTATACCAATAGTAACATATCCTGGAAAATTAGCGCGCATTGCAATGCGCATGATAAATTCCCGCGAAATAGGAACCAATGGGAAATAAGCTGAAAGATAATTGAAGTTGTTACGGAAAGAAAATTCGACATTTATTCCTACAAAAATCACACGATCAAGAGTCATGCTTCAGAGTAGTGTTGTTAAAGTTTCTTGCATCTGCTGTTATTAAAATATACATTATTGTTGTCATTAATACGTTTAATTCCACTTCAACCCTTTCTGTAGAAGCAATCGAAAATCCCTAATAGGACTTGTACAGATTAATATGTAGTTATTGCAATTAATTTCTATCAACAGTTTTTACTAAAGTATTTATAATTATTCTTTACTAAAGTATTTTTTCCAATCTTCAATGTATTTCATTGATAAAATAGGAGCATAAAATAATACATAATAGTTATGTTATTTTAAATGTATGTAAATTTTTATACATAGTTATTAAAATGAACTTCGTATAAAAGATACAATTTTATGAAATACAATTTAAAATTGTGCTTATATCAATATTATTAACAATTTTTAAATCTTCTATTACATTCTCTATTTTTTAAAATAAATGTTCACATGGTCAAACTTTGAAGTTTTAAGTTTGATACTCATGTTAAATTACATAAACAATAAACAATCTTAATAATACAAAATGAATATTTTTTTAAATTGCTTTTCAACATGTTATGAAATCTGCGAAAACAAATAATTTAAAAATATTTGATAATCATATCAAAACTACTCAAATTTTTGTAATATATAAATATTTTTGTATACTTCAATTAAGTTTTAAATATGGTATGTATCGTTTATCTTTTGCACCATTAGATTTATATTCCTGAAAATTTTATATGTATACACATCATTAATTGTATTTCAGGCTTCTACTTCAAAGAGACAGGCTGCAATTGGCACTAGAAAAAAGAATACAGCAAAAATGGAATTGACTACTGAGCAAAAAAATGATATAAAAGAAGCATTTGATTTGTTTGATCCAGATGGTACTGGAAGAATAGCTACTAAAGAACTTAAAGTAGCTATTAGAGCTCTTGGATTTGAACCAAAAAAGGAAGAAATAAAAAAGCTCATAGCTGATATTGATCCAGATGGTCTTGGCACATTGTCATTTGAGGAATTTTTGAACTTGATGTCTATGAAAATGTTAGAAAAAGATAAAAAAGAAGAAGTTTTAAAAGCATTTCGTCTTTTCGATGATGATAGCACAGGAAAAATATCTTTCAAAAATTTAAAAAGAGTTGCTCGAGAATTAGGAGAAAATATTACAGATGAAGAATTACAGGAAATGATTGATGAAGCAGACAAAGATGGTGATGGAGAAGTTTCTCAAGAAGAGTTTTTACGTATTATGAAGAAAACTAGTTTGTATTAATTTTTCACCATTGGTTCATGAATTATCTAATAATAATTGCTGTTCTATGTGAGTTATTTGTGTGATTTATACAACATTACAAATATAAATTGTTTGCTTTTAAAGGCATTCAGTACCTGAATTTTATTTTCATTGTAAGTAATAATTCGTAACACTATATGTATGATACCACTATAATAAGTGGAATGTTAAAGATCTTGTTAATAAATGCGACCAAATAATTACAAAATATTTTATTATTACACCTTAAAATTTTGTACAACTTTTTACTTTCTCAATGTTTCTTGCACATTTGACGATATAGCAGCTTCAATTAATGATCTTACCAACTCTGCTCTTTTTTTACATTTACTGAAGCTTTTTAAAAATAAATCTTGGGATATTGGAATTCCACCTAGACAAACAACATATTATTTCAAATTTTGTTAGTAATATATGATATATTTAATACAACATACCAGGCTTGTGTATGCAACAAATTTTTTCTTCATTCATTACAATTGTTAATTTTCCTAAACATAAACTTTCTTCATCATCAGTAGGATCAGCAATTAATAACTGACTAAAAAGTTAATTTAAAGTAATTCATAATATAAACTTATAAAATTCTATTTATTAGTTATTTTAGCGTTTAGTTATAAACTAAATATCATAACTTACTCGTCAAATATTGCAAAAGTTACAGAAACTGGTGATGCTTTAACTGGAAATGGTATTCTTTTCGTAGAATGTACAGATACGTTTCCAGTTTCTAAATTGTAAAGTGCTTCTGGTAATGTTACTATAAACAGATTATAGAAGTTGTAAGAGTAAAATATAAGTATATTTAAACATTGATTAAAACTTACAAGTATTAAGTGTAGCTGTCAGTGCACCAATACAGGCATCAATTACTGAACCATCATAATTGATACATACAAGATCACAATATAAGACCCACACTAATTTACCCTTACAAACACAAAGATCTTTTGTATCAATAATTGCCGAATTTCGCAAAATGTTTTCTACTAATTTTGTAATGACTTGTGCTTGGTCACTTGGTGGACCTGGTCGAAATTTTGGAGAACATAATGGAGGAAGTTCAATATTTGGCACAATATAACCAAATCCTGGAAATTCTGCTTTTGGTGTTGCTAGTTCCTACAATAAGGTCTTTATTATAATAAATATTATTGTAATTATCCAATAAGTATATACAACAATAATAAATTACTACCTCAAAATTTAGAAATTAAAATTTTTAGTGTAAATAAATAAAACACAAGTAAAAATCTTAAAATAACACACTTACAGCTTTAATGCCACATACAATTGTTGTATTGCCAATTTTGAATATAGCAGAGCTATCAGCATGAGTAATTGATGAAATGTTTACACTTATTGGACGGAAAGATAAGAATTGTCTTCCATCTGGTCGAACATCTTGTGCCTATAAAATTTTAATTGTATTATTTAAT